TTACTGCTCATTGACAGGAGTCAAAGTCACGTCAGATTAAAATCAGAAATTAACAAATTACGTCAAACCGGTACAAATATACTTTTTTTTAAATGGTAAGGCTATTAGATGAAACATAAAGCATTGTATGCACCACAGGCGTTACGGAGATAATAATGCCCATCAGGCCGAAACCTATCCCTCGGGCCAAAGGCCCTCGGGCTAGTTCGGCCCTCAGGGCATTATAAGGTCCGTAACGCCCTTGGTACATAAATAGCTATTATGGAATAAATATATTTTATTCGCCGTATTTTGTGCTTCAACATATTTTTGGATCAGCATCAGAGCTTCTTGAACCTTGAAAATGAAGTGCTATAAGCTACAACAAAGACTGACTTTAATTGAAAAAAATTGAAACTCGCAACTCGCTTTCCTACAAGAAATATTTGGGGTGAAAAGTTTTTGAAAAGAAGGCATTGAATGTTTGAATCTATTGAAAATCGACCAATCAGAGTTGGACGAGTTGGAGAACGGACTCGAAAATTGCGGTCTGAATTCATGGCGGATGGAATTCATGGTGCAAATAAAACCGGACCGAAGGTAATTTCTGCACAACTATTGGCAATTAACAGTTTCAGTACTCGAGTGGAGGTTTCGGGCGGTCCGATGCACGACCACACGAAATCCATAAAACTCAAATATCCAATTTTAATGTTTCTCTGGAAAGGTGTAATTGGAATCTGATTAAATCCAACTACTAGCTGGATTTAATCGTGCGATTCCCTATTTTGAATGGGTGCAATAGAAAACTGATTGGATATCCGTTTTTTTCAAGCGCGTCCTCAGCAGAGTGGTTGGACGAAGTGTTAAGGCATTAAGGGAGACGATTTCGCACAATGCCAGAAGGTCGGCGCTTGGCTCTTTTGAGCGTCTGAGCTTAGATAATTAATACCTTGAAACTAAAGGTGCGGTGATCAAATATTCAAACGGGCGAGCTTAAATATTCAGAGACATAAAGCACTGGCGAAGATTAGGGAATCGGCCGCAACCCCAACTGAAATTACCATGAAGGCAACTAACGAGTTCCGAAATGTAAAGCACGTTATTAGCCGTTATACGCATTGGCCGACCGATGTAATCTGCCCCAACAGACACGGTATTTAGACTGTTGTTGCTTTTGTTGAATTAATGGTCTGGAGTCGATCGCGTCTCCTGGAACTTCTATGGATTGATTAATTCGCGGTGAAAACGAGTAGGGAATTAATACGCGCTGATGGGAATAGAAACGGGTTCAGCACCACACAACAAACAGATTTATCTCCAATTCATCACCGCTAACCTAAACATCTCTTGCAGCAATGTCAATATCACTAAGCATGTCTTGGCACACGAACATTAATTTTCGCGGATCCGGCAAAGACGTATTGTTTTTCTGGTAATTGAGTTCTAGTTCCGAAATAAATTAAATTTCGGCCCCGAAATACTTCTTTCCTCGGGTTCGTGTACCGCCCCCGTGAGGCTCGATGGGAGTTATTCATTTCCTACGAAATTACTTTGGGGTTTGTCAGATTTTGCCGCCAAATCCACTCCATCATGTCGGCTTGCCTTGATGTTCTTTTGATTTTTTTCCTCCACTGTGACAGCAACTTTATGTTTCCATATGTCACTATTCATTACAAGGTGTTTCGTGAAGAGGCGGCATAAGCCTACTTTGCTATATCGGGTGTCAATTTGAAAACTTGCCACCCTTTCTTGCAGTTTAAAGTATGAAAAATCGGAAAGACGCGTCTATTTCCTTTGTGAGTTCTGATTTATTTTCGTGACTGCGTGTACTTGTAATGATATTCTTATCTTTCCTGGGTCTCAGTCAAAGTGTGAAGTAAAATTTTTTATTTTTTTTGAACAACGTTTATTTCATTACATTTCGGCGAGACAACAGTGCCATCATCAGATTTAAAATTTACACAAATTCATGATTGGTAAAATCAACGTTTGTAAGGGGAACACTTTAAATGAATATTTTTAGCCTCCTTGTTTCAACCCCTTAGGAGGGCTTGATGTCACCCTGATAATTTTTAATGGGAACGGGGGTCAAGTGGCACATCGTTTTAAAGGCTGTTCAATTATTTGTACACTAGTTACTAGTTACTTGCTTTTTGTCGAGACGTTTTCAAATAATCGCGTTTCAAAGTTACAGAAACAATTAAACTTGCCTGCAGTAAGATTTTCGACTGCAGATTAGTGTTTAAACAAAAATTACGTCATTGGGTCTCCTTATGATAGTAAAATGATTAGAATATTTGGTTAGACCGTTAAAATCTTTGAATAACAGGAAGAAAATCTGGTCAAAAAATTACTTTTTATTTACGGAAGAAACATTTCTACAAGAAAGACCATGTGATGTACTTACGCATTATCTTATAAGTTGTTGCAAATGTTGTCTCTTTTCCTGTAAACAAAAATAAAGTCTATTTTCGAACACTCCCTAACATTGATAAAATATTCCTGGATAGATCGAGGCACCGGATTGAACACTCTTAGACTTCTTTTTTTTGGAACATCTCAAATCCAGTCCAAATGTAAAACACAACCTGCTGATATTGATGTTCTTAAAAGTCGAATTGCAGCAGAATGCCGATCCATTCCCGGTAAATTTTTCTGAAATATTAGAGAAGAGCTCAAAAACAGACTTTATTATTGTTGATAGGAAAATTGACAACATTTGAACAGCTTGTAATATAGTGCCCTAGTATTTTCATATATTATATAAATATTTCATATAATATAAAAGATTTTTCATATTTTCTTCTTGCTCGTGGGTTCGTGGGGATAGTGATAAATACTGAGTTAGTTCATTCGTGCGGCAATTTACCGCATTCATATATGTTGTTGAACAGTGGTATCAGAATATTCATGAGTTGCGAGTCCGTCTCATTCACTAGTTTAGTAATCGTCTGTGTCTGTTTAATAATCGTCACAGCGTGAATCTCGTCTGGACCTGGTTCTTTAATGCTTTTCATAGATAGAATGGCTTTTTCGATATCTTCTTTTGTGGGAAAGGGACCCGACATTTCTTCTTTAGGATTTATGCTAATTTCTAGACGTTCGTCATAAAAGAATGCTCTATATAAAGGGTTGCTCATTAGTGCGTCAAAGTGCGATATCTCAGTAAATATGAAGTTTACAAGAAAATTCGTCCAACGAAAGTTTTTCACGTTTA